GGTGGGGGTGGTGGGGGTTGTTCTTCGGGATTCACTTTATGCAGAAGAAATAGAAATTCCCCTGTATCTAATGGAGAATGCATGCCAAACGCAGTGCTGTTCTCATATTTGTCCTTCTGTGCAGAACAGGGGTCTCTCTTGACTCTATCCAAACAGTAACGTAACCTGTGAGATTGGAGCATTTAAATCAAATAGCATCTTCACTGTCTACAGTAGCAGGATCACTAAAGAATAAAGAGATGCAGAAAGGCATTCATTGTGTTATACAAATGAGTAAGTACAGAACATGCTGCTACAGCTAGGTAAAGGGGTCGATGCTTCAGTTGTCTAGAAGATTTCAGGCAGCTGAGTCTGCAGTCCCACTTGTGCAGAGAACTTCATTATTACTTCTTCAGTCTATCTGAACCAGCAACTCCAGTCTCAAAGCTATTTTTGTAGTTTTTCTTCAGATAGAAATTCGTAAAAGCAAACATCTGCTTCTCTGCTAAAAACGTAACTTGAATTTGTGGAATTTCCTAGTGTTACGTAGAGCAAAGATCTACTTTGCTGTAGCATGTGCAAAGGTAGCAGAGCACAGCTGTCTCTTAGAGTATTCTTGTAGAAAAGCCAAAGGGTGGAGAAGACAGGCTAGGGTAGAACAGAGTATGTCTCTCCACTGCTTCAGCTCTCTGACCTTAATTACCTGTTGATGTGCTGTGTGAGAGTCTCTGAATAATCTCTGAAGAGCTTTCAGGTGGTTTTGAAGGCAGAGGTTTGCAAGAGCAGGCCCTATTTCAGATTAAATTGTTTGCCTCCTTAAATGTTCATATGGTCAAACTGTAAGCAGTTTTATTATATAATGCCTAAATTTTGGCACACATCTTATCAGAAAATTAATGAGAAACCATCTTCTTGAGAAATGCAACATTTCCAAGAAACTGTTTCAGAAGGTCACAGCAAAAAATGTAGGTTACTTTGTCATTTGCTTAGTGCCTCTGATGAGTCCCAGTATCCTCTGAGGAAGAGGGAGGACAGGGTGCTAGTTTCCCTCTAACTATGCCAGACAAACCAGAATTGCCATGGAAAGAAACAGTATTCTCCCCTCACACTGTCCTGTTCCCTCAGTACCTTGCTTCTGTGCTGCTCTCTGTATCTGTACCACATTGCAGCAGCTAATTTAGTCAGGGAACTAAACTGGATCAAAACTAATCAAGATTTCCTCCTTCCCCTTCCACCAAAAGAAGCAACTAACTAAATAAAAATCACAGCACCAGCTAAACCTGAAGGAGCATGGATGCATGAACGAACAGAAGAAAGGCAGCACTTGCTGTCTTAGCTGCAGCTTCAGTTGTAGGTGTTAAGCAAAGCTAAAAACATTTTAGGCCTTCATCATTAAGACTTTTTGGCAGCGCTTTCAGAAGGACTTGAATCGTAGGAAGAGACGATATCATTTAGAAAAAAATAACTTTATTTTTGCATAGGCAGTGTTAAAAGAATCTGTAATGCAAGCTGAGCTTGACAGAAAGCAGAGACCAGCAGTTCTGTCAGTAACATTTGGACACTGCTGCAATTCTTTTAAGTTTTTGAGAAACTTAAGAGTCACCTTGTACCAGAAAGCAAGAGTCCTGATACAGTAATAAGTGTAAAATTATAATTCTAGCTCTCATCAGGCACAGAACTGAAATTTCCCTGAGAAGACATACATTACAAACTAGTGTATGAACTTTGTATCACATCATCAGGGAGAATTTAAGTGTACAAAGGCAAGATTTTGCTACAAAAAAAAAAAAAAAAAGAAACACAAGTCCTTAATACTTCAAGCTGAAGATGAAGTTTCCAAGCGATGAAGTTTCTGAAGGGTTACAGAACTGCAGCAATCAAATTTATATTAAGTGATGACAACTGGCTTTGGTATGTTCCCTTTTGTTTAGTTTTCAAACAAATTGCAGTGTGAATTTCCTGAGATCTTTCGGTATCTCAACATGAACTTTGTGCAGTCCAGCTGCTTCTCTCCCCTTTTTCTCTCCATCTTTCCTTTCCAGTTAGTATTACAGTCACAGAAAGCAACCGTGCATGATATGTATTTTCCAGGCCTTTAACAAATGGTTTAGCTGAAAGCCCATTAATTACACTTTTTAGGTAACAATAAATATTCCAAACAGTTGGGCTTCCAAAAATTGCTGTCTTTAACCTAATCCCATGTTTTCTACCCAAACTTCCAAGCCTCAGCATGCAACATCAGGCATCCTTGTCTTCACTTGAGACATATCTTCTCTCCTCCTAGTCCCTGGACCTCCCTGTGAGGCAGGGCCTCATCACCACCTTACCGATGTGATGAGAAAGCATGTCAGCATCACCACCACCACCACCACCACCATACATGTTGAAGTACATAGCCATATCTTATTTGTACCTATGTTTCATAAAACGTAAATAGAGTATTTCAGTTCTTTTGCTGATATAAAGCTTTGTGTCGCAAATACTCTTCCAAGCATTTCACAGCAAAAGGGTCAACATCAGTATTGAACTTATTAGCAAAGTAGTGGTGGTTTTGCAGCATCCAGTTCAAGTCTCCTACTCCAAACACACAGACAGAGTGAACGTGAATCCCACTGCATGGTGGGTAGGGCGCACCTTTAGACACATCACCTTCGAAGTACTGCCACTTCACAAACCTGGCCAGTGCATTCATGTCAGAAACATCATACTTATTACTGGAAGAAACTGCACCTGGGACTTCAGGGATTCTCTGGATTGTTGCCCACAGGTACTCATCGGGGCTGTAAGTGTCTTTTGCCCATTCAATAAATGAAAGGATTTTGCTGTTTTCTAATATGTGTTCTACAAATCTTCTGCTAACGACAAAATAGGCACTACCAGAAAAAATTGGGGTACTGAGAGGTGGTCGTTGTTTGTCTATGCCTGTGTTCTTTACTTTACCGTCAATAATCTCATGGTGCTTTTTCCACCTTACTTCTTTAGAGAGAGGCATTTTTTCTGTTTCCAAGCTATTTTCACCTTTGAGGGCTTTCAGCCTCTCTACTATTTCCTGGTTGGTCTTAATAGGAAAGTCCATGCCACAGAGGTTTATTAAGTATTTCCACTTTGTACTTCTTCTGTAGAGATCTTTCATGCAGTTAATATCTGCCTGCACCCTGCTCCAGGAAGCATATACAACACTCTCTAACTGGCTGGAAATAAAAACATTATCAAAACATGAAACTATTCCCTTCACAGCAGCAAAGAAGGATTCTGGAGACTTTTTGTCAACATGAATGCAGTAAAAATTCTGAGGAGCATAGATTGATCTTAGAAGTCTATCAAGCATCTCAATTTTGTGATATACCACTACTGAGTAAGCAATTGGAAATTCTGCTTCCTCATTGCTGAGAGGTTCCAAAATATATTTCCTAGTCTTGGTAAAGGAGGCGCAGTCTGTTGTCATGTTAATGTAGTCATTTGTTGTTAGTTTGGGGCGTTTCTTAAACGACACAGATAACGTCTCAAGCTTTACCTTTTGAATTTCTTCTATATCACCCTCCAAGATCTTCGTGCAGCTAATACTGCTAATAGGATCTTCATTAGTCAGCTCCAGATGTCTTCGATTTAGGAAGTATGGTTTCTGGTTAACTTTCAAAACTGAAATGATTACTAGAATAAGCGTTAGCCCCAAGAAAAGCCTGAAGAGTGAGCTGTGGCAAAATCGTAGTTTCCTTTTCAGCATTTCAGATATCCGGAACCTTCACAGAGCTAAAAAAATTGCCCTCCACTCTGCTCATACCAGCTTCAGCAACTTCAGAAAAATCAGTTTGTGTTTCTCAGGAGGTTGGTGCGTTTGTCGGGGGAGATGGAAGGAAAAATCCTACAAGAAAATGCAATATGAATGACAGGCAACTACTAAAAGGTTACTTAAAAAAATTACTGGCTAAAAGTTCCATTATTAATTATTGATTGTAAAAGGTGAATAGTTCAGACACGAGGGTGTCCTTGAAATGTAGAGATTAATGAATAAAATTAGTTTATTTCTCAAAAAAAAAAAAAAAAAGAATAGGAAA